CCCCCCCCCCCCCCCGATGCTGCTTTAAGGACTTACCTCAAATGATGCCTCTTGATCCAATCACCTTCTTTCCTGTAGTTTTCAGGAGTTCCTCCAGCACTGGCGCCGGTCTCTGATCCAGCGCTGACTGCTGTGTCTTCCTGTTCCATGGAGTCTGTGCGCATGCATGCTGTCGGGCTGCCTGCATTGACTTACCCTGTGTCTCTCCTTTCTCCCCGCGGAAGATCTCTACTGCGCATGCTCGCGCCCCATGATCCTTCATAGCCACCCGAGAATCTTCAGAACATTTTTTATGTGTTTGCATATATCTTCTGCTGGCTAGCAGTAGATATATGCAAAAAAAACAAACAAACACCAAAAGGTTTAATTATACTTTAAGAACATTTGACCAGAAAAGAAACCTTAAGAACATTCAACCAGAAGAGAAAATGTTTCAAGAACATTCGATTTCCCCATTCATACAACAGTCACAGCCTAAACAATGTGCAAACAATCCCTAGAACTAATGAGCGTGTGCTTATTCCTTCACACACAACGAATGTAAATGCAGTTTAGCTGGATGAATAGCTATGACATTATTATAAACAGACCCTCAAGTGTAGGCAAGTGAGAGAAACATATTGTGTACTCTGCTTACCTCGACGTAGAGGTCGGAACCTTGGTCCCCGGTTTTGGGCTCTTTCAGTAACAAAACCTTCATTATACCGGATGAGTCCTGAAAACAACGAAGGAAGATATTACAGCCTGCACCGTGTGCCGACATAAAGCAATGTATGGCTTTACCCAGACACAGGCAGTTACTGGTGTCCTGATGAGTAAGGAGAACTGGCTGACCACCATTGATAAGACAGAGTGCTGTGTTCTTCAGATTAAACCTAATGTGCACGGTGAGGGGTGGGTGGGGGGCACACAGAGGCATACAACAAAATTAGTGACATATTCAGCACTGCCAGGCAGGGCAAATTATTATTTTTTAAACAGTAATGACTTCTTCCTGATACCTGTATAAGCTTTCAATAGGGTAAGAGTCCATTTTTTGCCTCATTTTCGGCAAGTATTTAGTATTTTGTTTTAACAATGACATTTTGGAGAGAGTAAAGCTAAAGTCACATGGGACATTTTACTGCATTCTGGAAATCTTGCAACAAGAGCCGACGGACTTTTGCCGCAGGAACTCCAGCTGTCCCTGTTCAGATGCAGCTGTTGTGACCATTCAAGTTAATGGCCGGGTGTCATTGGTACAATTACATTCGGTTTGGGATAGATGATTATACGTGGCTGCCGTCGCCCTGTCATTAACTTAAACGGGTACAGCGGCCGCATCTGAGCATCCTGCCACAGAAATCTATAGGTTCTTGCCACAGGTATGCTTGAGTGCAGCATGAGCCCCTGTTTAACCACCCCCCCTCCCACCGTGTGAGTGCCGCCTTATACTGGCCACCAATGTAACAAGCATTTACACTGACCCCCAGAGTAATGGGTATTTACACTGACCCCCAGAGTAATTGGTATTTACACTTACCCCCAGAGTAATGGGTATTTACACTGACTACCAGAGCAATGGGTATTTACACTGACTAACAGAGCAATGGGTATTTACTCGGGCTACCAGAGCAATGGGTATTTACACTGACCCCCAGAGTAATGGGTATTTACACTGACTAACAGCAATGGGTATTTACACTGACTACCAGAGCAATGGGTATTTACACTGACTACCAGAGTATTTACACTGACCCCCAGAGTAATGGGTATTTACACTGACCCCCAGAGTAATGGGTATTTACACTGACCCCCAGAGCAATGGGTATTTACACTGACTACCAGAGTAATGGGTATTTACACTGACCCCCAGAGTAATGGGTATTTAGACTGGCCATCAGCATACCAGGCATACCTGATTGTGTTTGGCCCAGCCCGGCCTGCTCTGCCTGATTGTCTGCTCTGGGGACTCGAGTGACGTGCGGATCGCTGATTGGAGGAGGCTGACATGCTCATCTCGGCTGTCCTATGGAGGTGGGGTGTGAGGAGGAAGTGTCGGCGGTGCTTGGGCTACAGCCTAAGCGGGGGGTGCATGTCCCCGTGACTGCTGTGGGGCACATCGGGCTGTTCCTGGGAAGGACAGGTGCTGCGTGTGATTATACCGACAGCCTGTTCTTCCCTATGGATGGACGCGGCCGTAAGCCGCTGTACACTCACCCGAGCTGCACATCCGTGGGGGTGCTGGTGTCCGTGCTCGGATGCAGATAGGATCAATCCCGTCTGAGTACGGTCACCCCGCACGGATGTGCAGCTTGGGTGAGCGTACGGCCGCGTCATCGCATAGAGAAGAACAGACTGCTGCGTACAATCACAGGCAGCACCTGTCCTTCCCGGGAGCGGCCCGATACAGCTGTGCACGCCGCATGGATCTGTACGGGCCGACTCTAAGCTGTGTGAATGAGACATTGACCGCCAATGTAACGGAGACATTTACACTGACTAGCAACGTACCAAGTGCATCTACACTGACCACTAGTAAAGTCATTCTTTTCCAGATATTATTTGATTCTGCCAACTGCATGAAACAACACAGGGCAAAATAAACAACAAATGTATCTAGTTCCATACCTTTTATTTTTAGTTTTGGATAGATTGGGGAGGAGTAGAGAAGGGTTAGACTCCCTGACATTTTTTTTTTTTTGCTGTCTGTGTGCCATTAGGATGATTTCACTTCCTCTTCTGGTGATGCAACAGGAAGTGAGAGAAAATTTCGCCAAACTGAGGGGAATCCTCTCTTAGACAGTTGTCATGACAACATGTAGATTTCCTCCTCACCTTCTGTTTCAGGAAAAACATTTTGAAATCACTTTTCTTCCAGGGACAATGGTGCCCAGGACAGACATGGAGGGAGAACCTCCCTAGAGGGGACATAGACAGCAATAAGAACATGGCAGGGGCTCGGACCCTAGCCCACGCTATCAAAACATTTTTTCTTTAGATATACCTTGTCAACGTTTAAAGGCCTTTAAGGCTCATTTTCTGGTTGATGCTCATTAGTTAAAGCATTTGTACATCCTATACCTCCCTTATACTATACCTCAGGGCACGGAAAATCAGTATAACCAACACAGTGTGTCACAAATTGGCCTAAAATACCTTGATTCTAAAGAAACTCTTCAAGTCACATGACCACTTTGCTTCTCCTTAGCTCTGCAGGGCCCAGGTCTGTGGACAGAACTAAGCTGCAGCTCGTCACATTTCCTGGTGATGACGCTGCAGCTTATTCATGTCCTTCTCCTCATGCTGTGCGGTGACAACGCAGAGCCTGGATAAGCCTGCAGATTGTTGCCACGCAGGGGTGTATCTACTGCAAGGCAAACTAGGCATTTGCCAAGGGCGGCACTTTCCAGGGGGGGGGGGGGCGCCAAAAAATGTTGCCCCCCAAACCAGTTAGGTGAGAGGAAAAAAAATATGATAAATTATTCATAAATTACTGCCAGTACTCCTGGACCTGGTGCTTCTTTGACTGGGGGACCAACATTTCCACCTATGCCGCCTACTCCTACATATATTTGCTGGCTGCAGATCCTTCCTCTTCCTGGTCAATGTGCTGTGCAATGTATTAGGGTTTGTGACCTTCGTCCAGATGCACTGGCAGTTCGGACCTCCCTGGGAAACCGGCACACAAATCTCTGACTTTAGGCAGTGGAGAAGCTTCCGCAGGATGCCCAGAGCGGAGATCCAGATGGTCATCGTGCCCATCGGCACCTCCGTGGTGGTGAGTCTGGGGAAGTGCAGCCTATAATCTCTATGCCGGGTTATGTCTCTAAAGCGGGGCAAGCTACAGAGCCCAATGGCCAAGGCAGAAGATCGGTAACTGCAGAATTAGAGGGCCCAGCATATTGGGGCAGAAGATCCGTGTTGCATTTCCAGAACTAGAGACTAGCACAGCATGGCAGGAGAGAATGGTTATTGTAGCTGCAGAACTAGGGAGCCCATCAAGCCAGGAATGGAGAAGGGGGCTATTGCAAAAGTAGAACTAGAGCGCCCCGCTACGTTGATAGCTCAACATGTCAGAATCTAGATACACCGTGCGTGCTGTATCCCGCGAATGACAGGTTATGCAAAATGTCTTAAACAGGAAGGGGTGGGACTAATTTAGATTAGGGATGGGGGGGGGGGGGCTCGGGATTAGTCTTGCCTAGGGCAGCACAAAATCAAAATACACCACTGTGGGAGAACCGCAGGCAAAATTTAAAGGAATCAGCACACAGGTACTGGGGTCAGCAGCTGTTATTGATACTGTTGGGTTTACTGACACTCTGGGCACACGGTCACATTTAATGTAAATTGATTGCGTATTTCCATGCCCAGGATACACAGCTGCAGCGTACAGCCACCCACAGTATGCCCCTGGACGCAGACTATGTGCACCCAGAGGCTACACCGCTACCTGCGTAAACTCGCGTACGAAAGTCATTCCTTAGTATTGGCAGCTGTACGATGCAGCTGTGTAACCCAGGCTCCAAAATACACCCATAGGACCTCCTGCGCCCTTGTGCATGGGCTTGGTGTGAACCCGGTTCGCATGATTTTATCCTAAACCTGCTGAAAACTGTGACCACCCAGCTCAATCTGCAGCGGGGGCATCCCCCCCCCCC